TATTGTGAAGGACCGAGAAACCGGAAGTACGCCCACATCACCACGAGGAACTCAGTAAAGGAGGAAGAATTCTCCTTTCTCACTTCCTTTTGGCCTGGCCATCTCTGAGGCGATCGCCTCTCTTTTCCCGCGTCACGGGACGCCGCTTCTCCTTGTCTGTTCGCTCCCGGTGTTTTTCGGACACTCGGGCTTCCGGTGGTGCTCACACATCTCCTTCCCCGATAAGCTGCAGCCGCGGACCGGCGCGTGTCTGGGTGGGTTCCCAGGGAAAGGCCCCGTCTTCTCGGAGCAAATGGGCGGCTCGCAGGTCAGTGTGTCCCCGGACCCTGAGTCTCAAGATCCTCTCTGCCATCGCTCTGTCTGTCCTTCTGTCTGTCTGCAGTCTTCTCCGCTGTCCCCGCCTCTGGATCCTTTTCTCCTTTGACAAGAGGCCAGAGTGACAGCCCATCCCCCTCCCTGCACCCGCAGTGTCTGCTCGGGGCCTTAAACCTTTTGGTTTTTTTCCTAGTAAATCCTTGTAATTTTACAGTCGTGGCCTTGTGCATTATTTGCCCTTGGGAGACAGAGTGAGATCACTCAGCAAATTGCTTTGCAGCCTCTCCCATGTCCTGTATGTTATTTTTCTATTTTGTTGCTCCTGAGTGTTGCATCCTATTCCATTGTGTGAATAGATACTATGTGTCTCAATCCATTCCATTCAGATTGGATTGTTGAGCTGTTTCCAGGTTCCTGTAATGATTAATAACACAGCCATGAACATTAGGGTAGAAATCTGCCTTGGTGTCTCTGTTCTAATTTCCTTATGGGGTATTGCTAATAATGGAATAACTGAGTCATCCAGAGTTTATGTTTTCTTTTTCTTTTCTTTTCTTTTTTTTTTGGATACAGCTGAAGATATAGTTCAGCTCTTTGAGGAAGTGCCTTCCAATGTGATTGCAACATTTTCCAGTCACAGTAACAGTCTATGAGAGTCCCCACCTCTCCACATCCTTTCCAACATACATTGCTTCCTTCTCTGCTAAACTTGGTCAAAAATGCTGAACTTTTGCATGAAATCGCGTGTCATCCTTGCACAGGGGCCATGCTAATCTTCTCTTCTAGTTGTTGTTGTTGTTGTTATGTGCTGTCGAGTC